TGACACGCCTGATTTCCATGCTGGCAGTGATGTTCGGATTCAGTGATGGTGTGTGTCAATGTGACAAGTATGAATCCTCGTTGATCTTTATGAGCCCCGGACTCGCGACCAGTTTGTGTGTATTCTGTATTTCACCCAGCTGGAACAGGCTTCAGTTTCCGGAAACTGTGAGCTGGTTTGGCAATACAGAAAATGGATGGTTTAGAAAGGCATATGATGAATACATTAGCTCCTCTCAATGCAATGATATAAAATGGATTCTCTATTTAGTCGAGTCGAGTTCAGTTCTACAGAAGCAAAAGTAGTAAGCATTTGTTAGACCTTGAAGCGGCGGTTGCATGTTGCTCAGAACCCCACTATTCTTTGAACAGACATTTGCATTTGATTACAAAAGAACACATTTCATTCCCCGCCACTGATTGCAAATCACATTGGATGAAGAGTGCAAATATTTATTTCTGTCAAACACAGCGAGTCGTGCAAATCGAGGGGAGAGGGCACTGTGTTGATGGACACCTTCATTTGTCACCTCCGTGCACCCACTTAAGTACACTTTGCTTCTGGCTTCGCCCACACCTCACTCAAGCTATTTTTTTCCCTTTGTTTTTCATATGTAAAGCGCTAATGACAACCCTGGAGGGACATTATGCAGACGAGGTGGCTGTAGAAATGGTTCATGGATGCATTACTCTATCACTGTATTTCTGTAAGTGTCATGTTTTTCATGCTCATTGCATCATACTGACAGCAAAACCTCTCATGCTGACTTAATAGTTGTTGTTTTTAACATGTGGAAACATAAGAAATTCAGATCCAGACTCATGATTAGCCATATCTTTATGTTCATAGTATATTGCGAGTGGAATAGATTTAAATGACAAGTGAAAAGCATGATCTGCCCCCCCTCCCAAAAAAAAACAAATCTGAGGAATGAAATGTTAGTCAGTTGGGAAAACAAATTTGTGTCATTTTTCCCCACACTTTTTCCAATAATTAATTAATAATTAATAAAAAAAATCACTCTTTAACTTCTGTCATTTGAATGTCTTCGTTCACAATTTACTACTGTACATACACCGTACACTGTGTTCTTATGTTTCATGTCTGCACAGCCTGAGTGAAATGCGGCGTCCTACAGCGTCTTGTGTAATGATGAATTAGCGATTCAGTGTGGATGCCAATCTTCCCGTTCCGAGCCCCGCAGTTGTAGCCAGTTTCCATGGCAACGTGTCTGTGAGAGCGCAGACGTAGGAAGAGAGGGGAACGGCGGCGTTGAGACAGCGATGGCGGTGTGGAGGGTGATGAAAAAGGAAGAGCCCGGGATGAGTGTGAAACGGTGTGAGCCGTGGGATAAACAGATGCATCTGGTATGTGTGCGTATGTATCCTGCGATAAGACATCATACAAGCATTGTTGCGATGCTTTTATGGATATTTACTGTGCATGCAGACATGCACAGACCTTGCAGTAATCTCAACATGTAGCAAGGTACTCACGAAATGCTGCCAGCCATGTGAAAAGTGCAAATGAATTATATTTTTCTGTGTCTGACAGAAAGCCTCGGAGGGAATGCCTAATACAATTTGGTTTCCATGGTGACAGTGGAGACTGATATGTCCTTTTTCAGTCGGAGGAAAATATTCGCTCGGTGCCTTGTTGCCGCGTTGGTTTCTATCGAATCACTCGTGAGACGGGAAGCATTTTTGGCACAGATATTTAGGGGAGACAAAAAAAAAAAGTAGAAGAAAGTATTGTATTGTAAAAATCAATTCCTAAAGTCACAAAATGACTGTGATTGGAAATTAAATATTAAATGAATGAATAAATCACAAATTTATTTCAGGATTTAAAAGGGGAAGTCAACTCCAAAATTCTATGCGGCCCGCTGCTCTAAACACAATATTGTGACTAATAAAGCATTTGTGGAATATAAACTAAGCAAAAAAAATCCACCTGATTTGAATCCATCTCAGGCCAGGCAGCCACTTTGCTTTGTACTGTCAATTGCTGTCGACTGAAAATGATTCAGGTAATGACCTTCACAGCTGAACTGTTTTCTGGGTTTGGTCACGGGACATTTTTTTGTGAAATAACGTAAAAACATTAAGCCTAAATAATTCTGTCATCAAACTGACTGTGCATAAAGGTTGCAGCTAACGATTATTTTAATAATGGATTCACCTGTCCATTTTTTTTTCTCAATGAATCGTTGAATCTGATTAAAGCAATGACTTTCAGTGTTCATCTATGATTTCACATTGACAGTGCAGAAAAAGCAGAAACATAAATTGTTTATGATTCTGTTGGTGGCTTGGTCCATAACGCTCAAAAATGGGCAAAAATGTTTATCGGTGTTTTCCAAAGTAAAAGCAGATGTCTTCCTGGGATAAATGACAAAGACGATCATGGGATGTTTATGATTCTGTTGGTGGCTTGGTCCATAACGCGTCAAAAATAGGCAAAAATGCTTATCGGTGTTTTCCAAAGTAAAAGCAGATGTCTTACTGGGATAAATGACAAAGACAATCATGGGGGACTACAGTCTGATAATATTACTGTGGAGAGGCAGAAATTCCAAGATTTGGACAATTTCCTGTTCATGAGGACTTGAAACGATTATTCAACTATCAAAATTCAATTCATTTGATAATCAGTTAGCTCTCAATGAATTGATGAATTGTTGTGCCTCAACTATATTTACATGCCTCTGCAAAGACTGCAAGATATCGGATTCTAAAGATGGGTGAGGGGGGGGGATAAAAAGGTACACATTTTCTTTCAGGATGGATTCATTTTATTCCAATACATATGAATTGCTTGTTTATGAAGTGTACACCATATTGGAACCTGATTGATCTAAAGTTGCCCACCAAACTGGTAATAGAATACACTGATCAGAAATGTATAAAAGACACTTACAAATAGATATGCCCGAAATGACTTTGTCAATGTTTGTTTGGAGATTACATACATGGTCACATAGAGACAATCAATCAAACTGTATTTTTCAAACTGTCCTGGTGGTGATTGTCCTGTCCTGTATACTCACTGGACACAACATTAAGTACGCCTGCACAACGAACTTAACAACACCACACCTTTTAATCTTACTTCTTTGCCCATGTCAAAACGGGACGTGAATATTTTGCTCCCATTGGATATGGTGATATTGTGCAGGTGTCCTTAATATTGTGACCCAGACTACTTTATGTTTGTGTGTCTTCTGCTCGGAGGGTGGGGGGTGGATTCTCTAACACAAATCTCTTTCAAAATCCATAGCAACTCATGTTGACCTACAGGCTTGCTCCAGATATTTCAAAAATACACATTGCAATGCCACCAGAAGATCGCACACATTTCATATTAGTCTATAACAGCAGCAAAAAAAAATGTTTTCTGACTCTCAAGTTTCTGTCACATGTAAACTGAATTGAAAGAAATATTCTCCAAGGGTCTCAACACCATAATGGAAATATGCAGTCATTCAAGAAGAAAATCAATTAAAAAAATCAAGTTATTATTGTCCATGATAACACAGCCAAAGTTTATTTGGATTATTTGCAAACAATTTAATGTTTTCCAGTGTCAGGCTTTAATCCTAGTATTGCTGTCTATTCAAAATGGAACTGTTTTCTGGGTTTGGTCACGGGACATTTTTTGTGAAATAAAGTAAAAACATTAAGTTAATAATTCTGTCATCAAACTGACTGTGTTGTTTACATCGATTTTCATCATTGTTTAAAATATCTTGACAGGCTGAAGTACTCGTGACACTTTTTCCTAAGTAGCAACACCAGACATGTGATCAGCACTTCTTCATCATACATGGATCCGCAGGGGCGGAAACATTTTTTTTATCAGGAACCTGAATTTCTGTACGCCTACTGCTGGACAAAATCACAATGGAATCATCACTTATCTACAAATAAGTCCACTCAACGACTACATGAGAACAAGAGCAGATGAGCAAAGGCTTGGTCATCAAGCAGCAATGAGTTCATGTGTCTGATTGTATTATCGAGATGAAATGGCTCTTTACATGTCTGATGTAATCATTATCACTGAGTCTTTGTCACTTGTGTCTCACTCAGTTACTTTCTCACACACACACACACACACACACACACACACACACACACACACACACACACACACATACACACACACACAC